TGGCTGGTGGTCCAGCTATGCTCCTCTCTGGACAGGAATAGCCTAACTACTGTTGTCTATGCTCTGGTAACCTCAAGGTTAGACTACTGCAATGCGTTATACGTAGGGCTGCCTCTGAAGACGGTTTGGAAACATCAACTAGTGCAGAATTCAGCGGCCAGGTTGCTCACCCGAGCAAGACGGTTTGAGCACATTACATCAATCCTGGTCCAACCGCGCTGGCTACCAATTAGTTTCCGGGCCCAATTCAAAGTGCTGGTTTTGACCTATAAAGCCTTAAATGGCTCAGGACCGCCAAACCTCAAGGAACACCTTTTTCCATAGGAACCTACCCCGGACCCTGATATCATCTTCTGAGGCCTTCCTTCATTTGCCTCCTCCTTGAGAGGTCCGGAGGGTGGCAACACGAGAACGGGGCCTTCTCAGCAGCGGCTTCCCATCTTTGGAATGCTCTCCCCAGGGAAGTTTACCTGGCACCTTCATTATACACCTTTAGGCACAAGGCAAAAACGTTCCTTTTTAACCAGCCGTTTGGTTGATTTGACTGACATCCTATGCCCTTTTAAAGTGTGTGGGGTGTGTGTGTTATTGAATTTTTTTTATATATTTTGGCTATGTATTTTGTTGTTTTATATTCTGATTTTATCTTGTGAACTGCCCTGAGACCTGTGGGTATGGGGCAGTATATAAATACTAATACTAATGCTAATACAGTGGTACCTCGGGTTAAGTACTTAATTCGTTCTGGAGGTCCGCTCTTAACCTGAAACTGTTCTTAACCTGAAGCTCTACTTTAGCTAATGGGGCCTCCTGCTGCCACCGTGATGCCGGAGCATGATTTCTGTTCTCCTCCTGAAGCAAAGTTCTTAACCCGAGGTAATATTTCTGGGTTAGCGGAGTGTGTAACCTGAAGCATATGTAACCCGAGGCACCACTGTACTAATAACGAAGGAAGTTGGCAGGCAATGCTTTTGAACTCCCTGGACTGGTTGTAAGTTAGAAGATCAGCGGGTAGGAATTGGCTGAGGGTAAACAGGGGTTGGTAGGGTACTGTCACATATGCCATAACTGACCAGCCTCCACTGACCTGTGGGCAGCATTGGGGGGGGGGGTAACCTGGGGGATAGGGTAGCATTAGCAGAATGAGTGTCTGGGGTTCCACTCTCCTTCCTAGAACAGTTAATGCTGCCTTTTTTTAATTCCCATGCAGGGCTAGCGAGTTGATGCAAAAGGGGTTGCAGTTCTTTCCGGCGTGGTATATACCGTATTTTTCGCTCTATAAGACGCACCAGACCACAATACGCACCTAGTTTTTGGAGGAGGAAAACAAGAAAAACAATATTCTGAATCTCAGAAGCCAGAACAGCAAGAGGGATCGCTGCGCAGCGAAAGCAGCAATCCCTCTTGCTGTTCTGGCTTCTGGGATAGCTGCGCAGCCTGCATTCTCTCCATAAGACGCACACACATTTCCCCTTAGTTCTTAGGAGGGAAAAAGTGAGTCTTATAGAGCAAAAAATACGGTAAACAATAGTGCTTGTGTGGGGTGTGCAATGATGTACACAGTAGGCCTAGACAGTCTCTCCCCCCCACAAGATGTCATTATGGCGCACTCTATTTAAAATGAATGTAGCTAAAAATATAACAGGAAATCGATGAGTAGCAGATGGAGACGGGTCGGGGGAAGGAGGGGGATGGGAAAGCCTGTCAACCGGGCCAGCTTTGTCATTGCCTTGGGTAAACATGGAAGATTGCAGGACAGCAGATTAGACCAGACTGAAAGCAAGATGAAGGCTTCTTCTTCAAATGAAATGGGCTAGCTTTTGGAATGTTTTCTGAAGGATGCAAACAAATGAACGATTTCTGGCAAGACAGATCCATCATCCGTGGGACTTGGCCATGGATTGCATTTGACAAGTTGTGTGGCCGACAGGTGAATTAATTATCTTTACATGTCTGCTGTCAGGACCTGGTTCCCAACACTCCTCTGACAACCATGTACTCAGAGTAGACCCATAGAAATTAAATGACCTGAGTTAGTTGTGTCCATTAATTGGAACAGATCCACTCTGAGTGGGAGTAATATTTGATACAACCCACAGTGTATGGACAATGCTTCTATGACTTAATTTAAAACTCCTCATGGACTGTGTAATTTGAATTCTAAGATCTCACTTCCCTGGCCCAAGGCTGCCTAGACTCTCTGTGATGTCAGAGAAGATCAACCAATGGCAACTAGAGAGGAGGGCTAGTCAGAGAGACAGAATGAGAAGACCAAAAAAAGGCCCATCATTGTGGAGCCGGGGGTGTGTGTGTGTGATTTCTCTTCAAAAACTTCCATTATCCTCTCACTTTAAACTATTTTGGGAAACTGAAAAATCTCGATGAATACCCACCCTCTACAACAAAACCCCTTACAAAGCAATCTGGATTTAGCAGCAAAGCTTTGATGACTACAGTCCATTGAGTTAGTTATCCTGGTTAATTGGATTGATGGTGACAACTGTAATTACCAGAGATGAGACCGCTTCTCTTGTAATTACTTGTCAATCTTCGGAGTGAGTTTGACTTTAAGGATATGTACAGTAGATTCTCCCAATTACAAGCAGGTTAAGGAGAGCATGATATATTGGAACTAATCATGTTTGTTATTGTGTAGAAGAAGTAAAGAAATGGCGGCAGCAGCCAAGAGAATGTCTAATCAGAAGCAACTTTCCAGATTCAAAGGCATTAATCCACAAAGCTTTACCGCTACGTGGCTTAGCAAGATAAACACACTACTGAGGAATTGAAAGGATTTTTTTTTTAACCTAAAGAATTACAAATTACTCAAGAGCATTGCAATGCCAGCAGTCACATTTTTTGTTATTACGTTGTTTAAAGAAGAAATGACTTTTTATTTCCAAAATACACATTAAAGATGGGAATAGTTTGAAATACTGTAATGAGCTTTTGCGTGTAGGTATAGGTCCCAACATTTAAATACTTGCTACCCGTACAAAACCTCTGCAGAACAGAAACTCATGCCTTACCAATAACTGTGATTCAGAATTTGCTTAATGCTCACAAGTCAATTGTTATTTTAATTGAAAGGACACAGGAGTGCAATAAGGGAATTCGGATTATACTCATCTGTACCTGGAATGTGTTTATACCAGAATTGCTTCAACCTTTGCAGACTGTAGTCCAAATCCAGAGGTGTGCAGGGATAGATCAGCACCATCAACATCCTGGTCTAGGGCTGAGCGATATCAGCTTTTCAACATTGCGGTATATTACCAGCCAAACATCGCGGTCTGGAGATATACAGTCATACCTTGGTTTGAAGTAGATTTGGGATGAGTATTTTCGGGTTGCGCTCCACGGCAACCCGGAAGTAATGAAGCGTGTTACTTCCAGGTTTCGCCGCTCGCACATGTGCAGACGGTCAAAATGACGTCATGCACATGCGCAGTAGCGGTGAATCGCGACCCGCGCAGATGCGGGTTGCGTTCGCTTCAGGATGTGAACGGGGCTCCAGAACAAATCCCATTCGCATCCAGAGGTACCACTGTACCGCAATGTTGAAAAAACAAGCTGCGTTGGCCTCAGCCTGCGAGGCGCCAGGTGAAATTGCCACAGCTCTCACCATGGGAGCTGAGGCAATTTCACCCCAGCGCTTAGTGGGCTGGGACAAGGCAGCTTGTTTGCATGGCTCAGCTGGGGTGCAGGAGAAGAAGAAGAAGAAGAAGAAGAAGAAGAAGAGGAGGAGGAGGAGGAGGAGGAGGAGGAGGAGTTTGGATTTGATATCCCGCTTTATCACTACCTGAAGGAGTCTCAAAGCGGCTAACATTCTCCTTTCCCTTCCTTCCCCCCACAGCAAACACTCTGTGAGGTGAGTGGGGCTGAGAGACTTCAGAGAAGTGTGACTGGCCCAAGGTCACCCAGCAGCTGCATGTGGAGGAGCGGAGACGCGAACCCGGTTCCCCAGATTACGAGACTACCGCTCTTAACCACTACACCACCCTGGTTCATCCCTAGTGCCCCCCCTGCTTGCGTGGGAGCCAGTGCTGGGCTGGGGGAATCCTTTAACCGCTCGGCTGAGGGTAGCGGCCACCGCGCACTCCTCAGCCAAGTAGTTTAAAGAAGCAGAGGGAGGAACAAGCTGTATCGGCGCCTCGCCAATGCAGCTTTTTTCTCCCTCTGCACAGTATGAAGGCAGAGTGGGATGGTGGTTTCACTCAGTGATCTATTGCTGGTGAAACCGCCACCGCTCCTGAGTCCCTCTGCTAGCAACACTCGCTGGAGGAAGTCGCTAGCAGAGGGACTCAGGAGCAGAGGTGGTTTTACCAACGATATATCGCTGAGCAGGGTGGATTTGATTTAAATTGATTTAAATCACGATTTAAATCACTAGTCAGTAAGATTTGATTTAAATCATTTTTTTTTAACAGAAAGACTCATTCTTGCTGGTATAATCTTAATATTTACAACCAGATGAAGGTTTCATTTTTGGAATAATCAATTTCCAAAGTAGTTTTTACAGTTATATCAAAAATTACTGATTTGGTTATACTATTAGAAATAGACAGATAATATTAGAAACAGACAGATAATTAGGAAATTATTGTGAGGTTTAATAAGTTAACTGTTTATATTTGGACAACTTTTCTGCTGTACTTTATTGGAAGGAGAAAAATAATCATTTCCTTCATAACAATGTAAACAAATTATTTAACTAAAACAATAACATTATAGCATATGTTTCCATGCTTGTTAACTGATGTGGTTAAATGGTTTGGTGTTTTGTTTTGTTTTTAAACTTAGACTGAGCTTTAGCACACATGAAAAACTCAAAACAAATCCTTATTTCCTGATGAATAGCCTCTGGACTATAATGTAACTTAAATAGAAATCTATTTAAAAACATTTAAAACATTTAAAATATTTAAAAAAACATTTAAAACATTTAAAATATTTAAAACATTTTTTTAAAAAATTTAAATCAGATTCTTTTTATTTAAATTGGATTTTTAAAATAAAATGCTTCTGGAGGAAAAATCTTCTCTTTAGAAGATTTTTCCTCCAGAAGCATTTTATTTTAAAAATCCAATTTAAATAAAAAGAATCTGATTTAAATAAAAAAAATGTTTTAAATAAAAAAAACTGATGATGATGATGATGATTAATTATTTAAAAAATCATTGATTTTTATCCACCCTGTCACTGAGTGAAATCGACATCTCAGTCTGCCCCTCCTACTGGTCCTGGGTGATATGTTGATATATCACCCAGGCCTACCCTGGTCACCTGCTTGACATGCTCTGATAAAAAAATAAATTGCCAACTGATGTGGAAATGACAAGACTGGGAAAACAATAAGTTGAGAGGAAGCAAAATTGAAAGATTCATTCATACCTAGATACAAGTAGTATTTTATGTGATATGTTAATTATAACTGCTGGTACACAAATATGAATAGGCTTGTGATTTTATTTCCAGCATTTTTTTAAAAAAACCAAATAAATACTAAGAGATGTACATTTAAATATATTACAATTTATTTGATATTCACAATATAAATTATCCCTCCATTTCATTACATGAACAATATATGCCCAACTCATATTTGAGCGATGACCACAACCTGGGATTGGGCATGCAAAATTAGTTTTGAAATGTCTTGGAGGCCCAGGGCTGTCCAGTTCACTTCAGCCTTCAGCACAAATTTTTGGAAGAGTCTTAAAAAGGAATAGGATATTTTTCATGCTTTTTAAAAAGGCACAATGCCTAAACTCTTTCCAGAGCAGGCACATCATCCTGACGTCACCTGAGATTTTAATAACACAAGTGGCGCCCATTATATATGACCTCTTAAGTTGAGTAACAATGGAGCAAAGTGTCCTTCTTTTGTGCTCTAATCTCCGAAAATGAGATCCAGACATTTCCAGCAATCCTTTGATTGATACTATTTGAAAGCTGAACAACTTGGTTAATTAGCAGTCCTGTAGGGGCACTCTCTGAAGTGCACTGAAAACTATAATTAAAATATTACATTACAGCAGTATGAGAAGGCAATCTACTTTTCTTCTCTCTCTCTCTCTCTCTCTCTCTCTCTCTCTCTCCTTTTTTAAAAAAATCTAAGCCTAAAAACATTCTTTCCCAAAGGTGCTCTGCTATTCTCGTATAGACCTCTACAAAGGACCCATCCTTTGTGATCTAGCTTCAGAGGTTAGGTGCTTGTCCTTTTGTTATAAGAAAGAAAGATAAAACACCTCTCTTGTTAAGGATCTAAGCTCGAGCCGGTCACTTCCTGCTTGATCTCTGGATCTTTTAAATCCCAAACACAACCAAGGAATTGTGACTGTTCCAGTTTATAGAACCGATGTCATTGACAAAATATACTTAATTTAAGGGCATATATATATATATATATATATATGGGGGAGGGATCAACAAGAACAATACCTGATTGACTACATTTGACACTTTTCACTGTGTATATATGTTTCTTTTCTGATAACAGAGCACCAGTGATAATTATAATATTTTTTTAAATAGTTATCTCTTTATTGTAATAAAATCTCTATGTAGTTTAAGTTGTTTCCTGCCCTTCCTCCCAAAGGAGCCAATGTTCACTACTGAAAACATTTTTAAAAGCTGGTCTACGAAAGGCTGTAGCTGACAAATCAGGCTAAGTTGGGCATAGGCTCTCCTAGCCACAGAGCCACAGAGTACTGGGAAAACCTGGCCAGATGGGCGGGGTATAAATATATTATTATTATTATTATTACTCCCAGCCTATAAACCTGTTCCTTCAGAAGGAATGCAACCCTTCCCAGAAAAGATTGTACACAATCCACAGTACTTCTATCATATCAGCATTCAGACTCAGTTCCAAAGCCCCTGTTCAATCCATCACTGCTTCCACACCTGTCTAGCACCTTAACAGCATCTCCCGATTCCGATGGAATGGGTGTCACCAGCATGCAGTATTTATGATGCATCACTAACGTTAACACTTCCTGGGAGTTTTCCCAGAACCAAGCATTACAGAGGTCATTCATGGGAGTTCTTTGCACACCAGGGAAAAGCGAAAGCCACCATCGGTTCACGGAGGTACACTGTTAAAATTTGCATCCTGCCTTTCTACCAATGGTGAGCAAGGCAGCTGATGTCAATAGTGTGAATACAATAAACTATAAGAAAATGCAATAAGACAGCGATACAGTACAAAATAAATAACATGAAAACGAGTCTTATAAAACGTCAATAAAAGCAACCTGTGGTCTTTTGCTTTTTGATAAAAACCCAGTGTCAATATATTTACAAGTCAGTTTATTGATCTTTATTTTGCCCTTCTAAATAAGGATGTCGCCTACAATGGAAGGTCATTAGAGATGAGGTTAGTTGGGCCTCCCTGGGCAAGGAGATTCAGAGCCCGAGAGCAGTCACCAAGAAGGCTGCATCCATGCGAGATTTCAGACAGATTAGGGGTGAGGAACTACATTACTGGACATTCTACAGATATGTCCTCTATTACTATATGGGGCACAAACTCCCTCAGAGGTGGGGAACCTGTGGCCCGCCAGATGTTGCTGGATCCCATTCAGCATGGATGAGGGATGCCAGTGGCAGTGCCTGAAAGAGCTACTACTAGTCAGAATACATGATACTGGGCCGCAAAGGGATGTCAGACTTGGCTCAGGCACTCAGCACAGGCAGCTTTAATGCACCTTGCCAGACGGAGTTTCTTTTGATTTAACATCTCTGGCCAATGCAGAAGAAGTACCACTTGTATGCCGTTTATTTAGGTAATACTGATCACAGGGCATTAGCACATCGCCACAGTGGAAACCTTTTCATTAGACTGGCTTTGAGAAACACATACATGCATGCTTTAAAATGCTGGAAACAGTGGCTCATCCATCATTAAAGATGGACAGTACTTACCTCCTTCAGATGTTAAATGTTGAAACTAGAATGGAAAGAGAGAGAGGGGGAAGAAATGAAGCAATTCATACAATCTCATTCATGTGCTGTTATGATTTGTTTTCCACGCAGTTGCAGTTGCAGTTGCACCTACAACTAGAACTGAACTGACATAAAACTGACATAAACATAATCTGATTTATACAGTCTGCTTTATACAAATCAATGGGATTTCAGTTTTTGTTAGGATAACTTCCCCATTTAAATGAAACTGGAATGTTAACTAAAACACAGAAAGGCTGGTATGGGATGCAATGCTAAGCTGAGCACGGATGCATGCAGATACCCGCAGCAAAAAAATAAAATAAAAAATCATCCTCTCTGCCTCTCCCCTGTTCTTCTGGCTGCCATGCTACCAAGCCATAGTTTGCCTTAGCAGTATGTTGAACCCTGGCTCGTGGTTTGTTTTGCTCTAGACAAACCACATGCCCTAGCCCAGATTTGTCCTTGGATTGTTGCTTGTGGTTGGTCTGGTGGAGATGCTCCAATATATTGGTTCACATCAATGTCCTAAGTCTTTACTGATGCAAGCAAGTTCAGCAAAGGATGGCCCATTTGGGCTGATGGGGGTATTGATCTCAACCAGCCCCCACCTGCCTGCCTTCTTATTTATAACAGTTCCAGGGGGGTAGGCCTGGCTGCCAGCTTCCCCCTCAGTATCAGTACAGTGGTACCTTGGGTTAAGAACTTAATTCATTCTGGAGGTCCGTTCTTAACTTGAAACTGTTCTTAACCTGTAGCACCACTTTAGCTAATGGGGCCTCCCGCTGCCGCCACTGCAGTGTGATTTCTGTTCTCATCCTGAAGCACAGTTCTTAATCCAATGTACTATTTCTGGGTTAGCAGAGTCTGTAACCTGAAGCATCTGTAACCCGAGGTACCACTGTAATGTCCTTGTAGAACTCAGGTGGGAGCAGGATGGGGATAAAATTAGAATTAGTTGATTCTGCCTGTCATTTTTTCTAGCACCACCTACTGTTGGCCTCCCAGTGAGAAGGGTCCAGCATGTAGGTGTGTGCATGCTTCTGACATTAATTTAAGAGCCCCAAGGACAGAGTTTCCAAAATGTTTGAGGACTGGCTCTCAAAAATCCACAGGTGTCATACAGTGGCATTTCAATTGTTGACATCTCTCTCTCAAAAGTGGTCACAGAATCATAGAGTTGGAAGGGACCCTGAGAATCATTAAGTCCAGCTCCCTGCATTGCAGGAATATGCAGCTGTCCCATATGGGAATCAAACCTGCGACCTTGGCGTTATCAGCACCATGTTCTAACCAACTGAGCTATCCAGGCTGACAAATAGCATCAGCTTCAGAGGTAATGACTGTCACTATGAAAACAGCAGCGTTTCTTGCTGGAGCCAATCTCGGATGAAGTAACTTGTGCTTTGGGTAAGTTTTGCTCTGTAACTTTTATGCAAAGACAAATCTCCAAGACCAGCTGTTGGGAAAGCCCTTCCCTTGCAGATCTTATTCATCCCTGAATTTCAACGCATTTTGCAACAAAGCCTGCAGATGTATCAACTCCTTTGGCGCAATCAACTACACAGACCCAGATATATAAATACATATCCTTTTTATACTTTGTGACTAGATATAGAATCCTTTCATTTTAAATAGTTCAGGGATAATGAAGTATTTCAACCTTTTCTAAAAAAATTGCTGCAAGGATATACAAGCTGTTAAGTTTAGTTTAAAGCTCAGGGTCCTCTTTAGATTTAGTTTCCCTCTCCAAACCCTTAAAAGAAACAAATTATATTTCAACATGTAACAATGCCGACTAAATGTGATGATATCAATTAGCACACTTTTGTTTAGAGCATAATGTATCCAAGTACATGAATAATCCACGAAGATTAACATCTTGCTATGGAACAAGTTTTAGGTGCCTGCTCACTCATACATTCCCAGGGGAGAGCTCCAGAGATGTATTAAACTGATTTACTGATTTTTTGTGTGTTTTATACTTGTTTTATGAAAGAAACTTTCTTGTTGATTTTATGCTGTGCACTGCTATGATATCCCACCCCCAAAGTTGGTGCTATAGGTTTTGATTGTGTGTAAATTAATGAATGAATGTGAAGAGGCTGTAGTCCTCTTCGGACATTATCACCCTAAGATG